CTACCCAATTAAGGGTCTACAGCGACACCTTGTTAAGGTATACCCCGGTTTCCGATATTTGCAAGTATCTCATACTTCCATATCCACAATCCAAATCAGGGGAGGTACACAGGGTAGTGCTTATAGCACTCCAAACTGACTTTCTACTCTCGCATCTTTCCATGCCTCATAACCAAATCCCAAGTGCCCCCACACATACTCAACAAATATAGTACTGTCCCAAATAGTATACCTATATAATTCAAGATACTTGAATATGTCCAAAACCCAAATATATCACCAATACTTTATAAAAATAATAGTTTCGACTATAAAGTATAAAGTGAATTTCCATAAACCCTTAAATTCTTATGCACATAAATTCATCATAAAACTCATGCAATTTATTTGAAAACAAAGTCCACTCACAAATAGTCCCAAGCTGCTTGACCCTGAGAGGGTCCCGCCTGCTGTGTACGCGGAGTCGGATTACCTATTTCAGAATACGAACACGTTATTAAAATCCAACGCTTCGAATGAGGACTTTAAATTAAAATCCTAATTTCTCAAGTTTCAAGCAAGCGTGAGGAATGAGACGTTCCTAAGGTCCAACTAAGGGTTTCAAGTGCTGGAATAATCTCGGAAGACGCTCAGTCAACTGGACGGTCAAACTTTAAGTTGATGAATCGGAACATCCGGGGTTCCGATTCGCGATCTGTGAACTCCTACACAGTCCTAGGAATATAGGGAACAACATACGTGAATTTGGGTTTGATCCAACGGTCCTAACATATTAAAACCCACAAATCGTAGAATATGGAAAATCCGTTTGAGGCCCAAACGATATCCAAATTGAGATCAGTAAACTCCTACGCGCTCAAGACAACATAAGGATCATTTTATGATAAAAATGTGACCCCACTAGACTGCCCACACGCCGCCCATGCGCTGGCAGCGCGTGGGTGGCTTTAGCAAAGTTTTAGGCGGCCGGAAATCTTCAAACCACAGCTCAAGACTCCTACCCTAGATAATACCCCTAATTTGGAGTCACTTTTATTCTTGGACATACCCCAAATTATCGACGGAAGTGGCTGGAAATTCAATTTGAAAACTGGCTGGACTTAGGGTTCGAAATCGAGTTGTTAAATCTAGAAATCAGCCAAAACCTATCCAACAGCCAGCTAGAGCACGAAGAGTAGATGAGAAACCGTACCTCACTCGTCGAAAACGGTGGCCGGAAGGTGGAGCTTGGCCAGTTGTTTCGGGTCCGGTCTGGTGGCGATTGGTGGTGGTTAAGGTGGTTGGAAGGAAATCGCGAAGGGGGAGGGGGCTGAGTCGCGAAGAGAGAGAGAGAGAGAGAGAGAGAGAGAGAGAAATGAGAAAATGAGGGGTTGTTTTCTGATTTTACAAAAATTAATTTTTGAAATAATTACAATTGTGCCATCGATGATTTTTAGATCGTATCTTGTTCGTTTCAACTCCAAATTGAGCCCACTACGTGTCTACGGACTCGTCTTGGTACGACCTTCCTGAAAACACCATTTGCTGTTCCAAAATCCTCCCATACTAAAATGACCATTTTACCCATCTTGAGGGTAAAATTGGAAATTCCAGATTTTAATTTAATTAATTAGTGAATAGTCTTAATTTTGGGTCGGGATGTTACATTTTCTCTTTGAGCAAACTACATAAAAAAAAAAGGAAGAGGATGTTAGTCATGAAGAAAAGAATAGGCAGAGAAAAATGGAGATCTGCAAGAAAGGGAGGCCATGTTTTTCTGTCACAGCCTCTCTCTCTCTTGGATAATCCTCTTGTTGGGCATACAGTCAAAACAAGCAAAAAAAAAAAAGAAAGAAAGAAAAGTGGCTGTACGCCACTTTGTGTTTCTGGAAAAAAGAAAAGAAAAGAGAAAGATGAAACAGCAATGTGCTTTTCTTTTGGAGGAGGGTGTTGTTGGCACATAGCTAAATATAAAACAAAACCAAAAAAAAAGATGAAGGCAACGCGTTGGTTTTGTTTGCATGGGCTTGGTGTGGCAAATAACAACAACAAACAAAGGTTAAAAAAAGGACAGCCACCATAAAGCAAGAGAGGAAGAAAGGTTCAACAAGGAAATCAAAAGAAACAAAAGAAGGAAGTGGCGTAGCCACTCTGTTTGAATCTGCATGCAATGAAAAAAAAAGCAAGAAGGAAGTCAGCACAAGATTATACGCAGCAACAGACAAAAAAAAATAGCCACCACGAAGAAAAAGAGAAGTCAGCAAAAGACGAAAAAAATAGAGGAGGCACATCTCTTTGGGTCTTGGACTTGTTGTTCAGTCTGCCTTGACTGTAAAAAAAAGGCTATGTGGTCTGAGTCTGACTAAGAAAGGCATTCATACCTTTCGTGAAAATAGAGATGGCTCTGCTCTATCTGGGAAGGTCTGACTATGGAACAAAAGAAAATGGGCCTGGGGTTTCATTTTAAATAAAGGGAGAATTCTTGGCAGTGGTGTAACTTTATCCCAAGTCTGTCAAAATCACAATTCCTTTATGGTATAAATCTCTGTAGTCCTAGTCCAACTGTGATTGGTTTTTGATAAACCAGATGAGCCTTGTGCTGGTGACCAATCACGGACCAACAGATTAAAAAATATGTTAAAGGGCCTATCGTCAGGTTATTGGGTTATGATACCCATTAAATGCCCAATATATTTAAGGGTCAGGATCTAGTGAGAACGCTTATATGAGAACATAACATGAGAACACCGTTGGATCCAATCTAACGGCTGTATGAAAAGCAATTGTAAGTGTAAGTGTTGTATTAGAACGAGGCCTTCTTCTCTCTTCTCCCTCCAATACTCTCTTCTCCCTCCAAAACGTCCCCTCCAAAACAGAAGTCCCCTCCAAACCAGCTGTTCGCTCAGTTCAATGAGGAGGCCATTTTTTTATCAGCTTTGATTGAGGAAGAACTGTAACATTGAAGAGAGAGCACCCCTGTTAATCGTTTTTCGGTTTGAGGAAGAACACATAAACGGTACCCTCATTTTTCTGGGTTTCCCATTCAGGCGAAACAAAGTAATCTTGGATTTTATAATTTCATCTTTGTGGTTGGGTTTTTGGGGTCGGGACATACGTCAATCCTTGAGCAACGTCGAAACTGGCGTTGAGTTGGAAAGTGCTGACCGTACCGTTGTGGTTCTGCTCTGTTGGTTTTGAAATCCTTGAGCGGGGGCGAAACAGGGGTTGAGGAAGAAGAAAAGTTTTTGGGGTTGACGTCCAGATCTAAAAGGGCTACGTTACGTTGTCATAGTTGTTGAAAATTTGAAGTTGGAAATTAGTTACGAGGTAAGCCATATACTGTACTTGTCAATTTCATTATTGGGCATCAGCATGAGTCACTTTAGGTTGTATGTATGACTTTAATGTTTCAGCGGAGAGTCATTTGCATGTCATATGTTAGTTAAGATATATTGTAAAGCTGTTTGAAAGTATGTGCCAAATATTGGGCATCAGCATGAGTCAGATTAGGTTGTATGTATGTCTTTAATGTTTCACCAGAGAGTCATTTGGATGTCATATGTTAGTGTTTGTGCCTAATAAATCAAGGCCATAAATTGGCCGAAAGGACCTTCCTCGGCCTTAGCACCTATTCATGAACTAAAACGTGGCGTTTCGTCAGATATTTGGCCTTCCTAAAAACAAAGGAAAAGCTGCGAAGGTATAATCATCTCGGCCTCGACCGCGGCATTATGGGTCGAGGTCGAAGGACGAAAGAGTCACGACCGAAGGGATTAGAGTCAAATCGCCACGCGGCAGCAGGGTCCCACACTTCATTTAATGAAGTAACGCCTCTGACTAGCAAACCCACTAGCCACAAAAGGGCATTTAATGCACGAGGGAAGAAGGGAAGTGACTAAAGTCAAGGTTTGGTGATAGAAATCAGAGTGGTTAGGCGCAAACATACTTACAAATATTCTTACAAATTGAGGTCAGATCACCAACCACCAAACAAGGGCATTAAATGCGTCCCCACGGCCAGAAGCGCAGAACCCACGATCAGGGCGGCTGTCGAGATTTACTAGGATTTATGGGGTCACACCACCATGCTTCACGATCCCAAATGTCGATTGGACTACCCACTTGTTCTAATCAGGTTCCACTATGCAGATTTTCAGCCCCGATTACTCATCCAAGAGCTCTTCCTATAAATATCAAACT